ACACACACACACACACACACACACACACACACACACACACACACACACACACACACACACACACACACACACACACACACACACACACACACACACACACACACACACACACACCCGCACACACACACACACACACACACACACACACACACACACACACACACACACACACACACACACACACACACACACACACACACACACACACACACACACACACACACACACACACACACACACACACACACACACACACACCCACGCACACACACACACACACACACACACACACACACACACACACACACACACACACACACACACACACACACACACACACACACACACACACACACACACACACACACACACACACACACACACACACGCACACACACACACACACACACACACACACACACACACACACACACACACACACACACACACACACACACACACACACACACACACACACACACACACACACACACACACACACACACACACACACACACACACACACACACACACACACACACACACACACACACACACACACACACACACACACACACATCACACACCCACGCACGCACGCACGCACGCACGCACGCACGCACGCACGCACGCATGCATGCATGCTTTCTTGGTTGCCTCCTTTCTTGCTTGCCTGACTTGTCTTGCTTGCTTGCAGTCCTGTGATGTGTGTATACATGTGCATACACCCATTCCACGGAGTGGCCCAGCTCCACCCCTGGTGTCAGGTCCGGAGGAGAAGGTTGCGGTGCCAAAGTCCCTGGAGGTGCCGCAGGTTTCGGTGCCGCAGGTACCATCGGAGCCCCCAAAGGCGCGGGCGGGGGGCAAGGCAGGGTGCAGGGACTTGGTTCTGATAACTGGGTCCTATATGAGCAGCGGTTTTTAATCAAATGAAAGCGTTGATACAAAAATGGAACTGCATGTGCTTTGCGGAGGCAATCCCCCAACCAGTAGGCTTGCGTAGGCTTCAGCGCGTAGGCTGTTGTGTCACCCCTCGCGTAGGCTTTTCGCGTAGGCGTTTGTTGAACAAATCATGACTGTTTGCCACGTATGAGGGAATTTGCTTCTTTTGCCTTCCTGCAGTCTTCGCGTAGGCTCCGCGTAGGCCCCGCGTAGGCATTCGCGTAGGCTTTCAAGGCATTTTGGGTACGTGGACCTTTTCGGGATTCTCACTTGTACTGCATTTCTGATCTTAGAGCCGGAGCTGCCAAAACTGCACTTGTACTTAAAAGTTGCGATTTTCCAGCTGGAGCTGCCACAGCGCACTTCGACCCTTGAACTCAACATTTGCCCGCGTAGGCATCCGCGTAGGCACCTGGAAGCTGACTTGTGCTCGCGTAGGCACCCCTTGCAGGCCGCGTAGGCTTGCGTAGGCCTTCGCGTGCAAGTAGTGTTTAGGCCCCGAACCACCCAAAAAAGCACTGCTCATACGTGTATATATATATATACACATATATACACATTTGTTGTCCATTTTTGGCTTGCTTGTTTGGTGGGTTGCCTTGCGCCTTTTACGTTCGACCGGTTTGCACAAGCCGACTGACCATGGTTCCCTTTGAACGGGAAGCCAGAAGAGGATATTTCACATGATCATGTATGCAAATTCAGAAGCATCTTATCAGACCCTTGTCGGTGGTGCTGTATTGAACAACCCATGTTGCATTGTCCGCCCCCTATTTCGTGGCCGCAAAAAGTATACCAAGAGTTTGTGGGCGTTGCCCTTTTGTAGACACACTCGGATTCTGATTTCGGGGTGTCCGACATAGGAATGGGCCCGCCGCACATGGCGTTTCAGCTCCAAACGGATTTCAAACAACTATTCTTCCCGTCGCCAATCAACAAGGACCCCTTGAGTTTTCTACTCTAAGCAAAGAGTTGGTCTGCAGGTGTGCCATCAAACTGGTAACATGCACACTTTGCAACAGGATCGTGATGGTCATCGGCCCTTTTGGAAAGATGTTGAGACAGATGATGCAGGACCCTCATAGGAATTGTTTTGCTGCTTTTGCAGACACCCTGTTGGCCAAGAGTTTGCGGTGGTCTCTTGATGCCCTGACGGAAAATATCCACCGTGTTTTGCGATGGTAGTGGTTTCCCTTGTTGTAGTGGTGTCCAACTACGTGCACGAATTGGCATAAGGAATCCCCAGAAGTCATTCCAAAGGATTGCGAGAAGCCCCCGGCACCCAGGCTCCCTTGCTCCCTTGCTGTATGCCGGTTCTCCGTGGGGCAACGCAGGGAATGGACTTGCCAGAAGATGACTTTTCCACCAGCTCACAGGGTCGAAGGCTCTACGGCTTGCGAGAGAATGAAAGCAGAGACCTTTTTGCCAGTGCTGAAAAATGAGACCGACCCTGTGAACCCCGAACAGCCACAGATTACCCCTTCTCCTTTTGTTTATGAGACCAAACCGGGACAACTGAACGTCCCCGACAAAGCCACTTGGCAGGAGCTTCGGCCCGGCGTTTCCGCCAAGAGGCCGGGCGTTTGGAGAGCTGATGCTTGAAAGCTGGGTATCTAGAGACCCAAAGTCAGATGTGATAACTCAAGGAGCACAGCTGAACTGGCGTATTTTGAGTGTCTGTGTGTGCCACAACATGTACATCTGTTGCCGTTCTACAGTTTGTTGAACAGACGCCCTTGTCAGATACCAGGCGTCTGCCGCACGCCGAACCTTTTGTTCCATTTCGGGCGGGTCGACAGGTGCAACCCCTCCCATGAGTGGGTGGGTGTTTTTGAGGGCCCCCTTTTGAGGGCTGAGGGAATGGAATTGGCCACGGCCAATGTATGGCTTTGTGCCTGAAAAGGGGGTGGGAACCTCCATTTGTTTGCGGAATGGATCCATCATTCCAACAAGCTTGCAGGTGTGGTTATTCTTTCGTGTTGGTCTCAATTGACTGGACACTACACCTGCAGAGGTTTGTGTTTCAGATGGCAAGACAACGGCAAATTGTTGGTGGCATTATTAGGGTCTACCACCTTCACCCTTCTGGTTCATCTTCTTCTCTCGAGGAGGCAAGGTTAGAGAAAGGAGAGGTATTTATTTTAGGATTTATTTTTTCGTTTTTTTTTTGTTTGGCTTTTCGGCTTCTTGGCTTCTGGGCTTCTGGGCTTTTCGGCTTTTTGCTGGTTTATGCGGCTTTTGGTGGCTTTTTGGCTTTTCGCATCCTCTGCATTTCCAGTTCCTCTTCGGCAGGTGGCGTTTTGTCTTTTGCGGCTTTTGGCGGCTTTGGCTTTTCGCATCCTTCGGGCTTTGTGGCTATTAATTTGTGGATTTGGCTTTCGGCATGATCAGCATCACCACCACCCTATTTGAATCATCATGGGGGGGAACCCCCCCCCCAACCCACCCGCTACTGTTTAGATTGTTTGCACCCCTATTTGAATCAACTCTTCTTCAAACATCATGGGGGGGGGGTTGCCGCCTCCCCCCTGTTACTTTTTAGATTTCTTGCAGAGATTGAATTGCACCCCTGTTTGAATCATCACTTTTTCGAGCGTCCAATTTCGCGAGAAAATGCTGCAAAATACGACATTTTGGGTAATCTGTGTAATCCATGTATGTCTGTATGTATGCATTTCTTCGAACATCATAGGGGAAGCCACCCCCGCCAACCCTCCCGCTGCCTTTTAAATTCTATCACACCCTTTCTTGAATCATTGCACCCCTGCTTGAATCATCACTTCTTCCGACATCATGGGGGGGGCTGCCGCCCTCCCCAACCCCCCCACTACGTTTTAGATTTTCTACAGAGATTTAATTAATTGCACCCCTAGTTGAATCATCAATTCTTCGAACATCATGGGGGGGGCTGCCGCCCCCCCCAACCCCCCCGCTACTTTTTAGACTTTTTGCAGAGATTTAATTGCACCCCTGTTATTCCCCACCTCGTAAACATTTGCACTCCGTTCTAGCGTGCGCTTAGCTCATCTGAGCCAGAATCACCAGCTGGGTGATTAGAAGTTGGTAGGGGACATCCCGAACCCCAAAGACGCAGGCATGTTGGGTACACCCTTTTCATGTGGGTTTTCCTTATGACTCGGTTTGGTTTTGTGTAAGTCCATCTCTATGCCAGCTGCACGTTCTGTGCCGAAAGGTCTTTTGTTGCAAAACAGCCGGTGAGGCTCTCTCAAGGTCATTTGTTTTCATTGCCACCCAGCAGTAAATTGATTGACATTGGAGGACGTCCAGTGCCTTTGGCGCTGTCTTTTTCGGTTTCGTTTTTTGTTGCTTTACAGGGAAACCAAATGGACATCGAGGCCCTCGAAACTTCCATGTCCCATTCATTGTAGCCATGGCATCCCGGGCCAACGTGTGGAGGATGCGGACGCGGAAGAGGTCGCGGAGGCTGCGAGCTAAGGGGGGTATACGGTATACCATTTCAGATGGAACTTCATCAAGTGATGATGTGCCGGGGTACATCCGGATCTATATGGCTGTGGGTCAAAGCCAATGGTACCATTTTGGGGTAGGTGCCCACTCATTTTAGTCTATTTTAGTGGGGATTGGGATGTTCACTGGGGGTACGGGATTTTGACCCATGGCAATATGTACATGCGCACACGGTTTTGTATGTATACGCTCAATGGGTATATGCATATACATAGATATGGGCGCGTCTCTTTTGGAGGGTAATTGTTGGGTCTGCTCTTTCTTCCCTTTTTTGCTTGCTTGTTTTTTTTTTGGGAGGGGGGTCCAGTTGGAAGCAAACCCACATCTGCATCTCTCTCGAACTCCCCCTCTCTCTCTCTCTCTCTCTCTCTCTCTCTCTCTGCGTCTTTATATGTATATATACATATATGCCTATGTATGTATGTAATGTGTATGTAGCCCTCATATACATCCCCATGTATCTGTTGGTGCCCCGGCTTACAGGGGATACATATATATATATATATATATATATATATGGTCACCCCCCCCCCAGGGCCTACCTTTCTACTTTTTGCATGAAAGAGATTTATTTGCAGATGTTCAGTGTCCACTTGGTTTGCAGATGCCTTGCAGAAAGCACTGTAATTTACGGTGTTTTTGTGCATTGTTTGATATTGTCTCAGATGTGCTTTCTATACTTGATGCAAAACAGGATTCGAGAAAGCAACAAACACGAAAACGGAAAGCGTTTTCAGATGCAACTTTGTCAGTGTTAAAAACACTGTTATTTGCAGTGATTTTGAAGGAAACTGCAAAAAAGCACCTGTTTCTTACGTTTTTTGATGGTTTCAGCCTCAAAACCTGCACAGGCTCAAAAAAATGCAAAAAATCCAAACCTGGAAGCTCCAAAACCTGCACAGACTCAAAAAAATGCCAAAAATGCAAAACCCAGATACAATGTCAGAGGTCAGGGCTTGATTGGCCTGGACTTTTGCATTTGTTGCATTTTGTTTGAGCCTGTGCAGGTTTTGGAGCCTTGGATGTTTAAAACCTGCACAGGCTCAAAAAATGCAAAAAATGCAAATCCCAGATGCAATGTCAGAGGTCAGGGCTTGATTGGTCTGGACTTTTGCATTTTTTGCATTTTTTGAGCCTATGCAGCCTTGGATGTTTAAAACCTGCACAGGCTCAAAAAAATGCAAAAAATCCAAACCTGGAAGCTCCAAAACCTGCACAGGCTCAAAAAAATGCAAAACATGCAAAACCCAGATGCAATGTCAGAGGTCAGGGCTTGAGTGGTCTGGACTTTTGCATTTTTTGCATTTTTTGGAGCCTGTGCAGGTTTTGAGGCGTCCAGGTTTGGATTTTTTGCATTTTTTTGAGCCTGTGCAGGTTTTGGAGCCTTGGGTGCTTAAAACCTGCACAGGCTCAAAAAAATGCAAAAAATCCAAACCTGAAAGCTCCAAAACCTGCACAGGCTCAAGAAATGCAACAAATGCAAAACCCAGATGCAATGTCAGAGGTCAGGGCTTGATTGGTCTGGCTTTTTGCATTTTTTTGCATTTTTTTGAGCCTGTGCAGGTTTTGGGGCTTCCAGGTTTGGATTTTTTGCATTTTTTGAGCCTGTGCAGGTTTTGGAGCCTTGGGCGCTTAAAACCTGCACAGGCTCCAAAAAATCACAAAAAAAACAACAAATCCTTTACTTGTTTCTGAAGAATGGAAGACAGATTGGATTGCTGAGCTTTTTCACAGAAGCATCGTGCTGCAAAACTTTCCAGAAGTTTCTATAAGCGTCTCGGGCCCACTGCTGCAAAGTCTGCAGCATATTGCCTGTGGCCTCCCACGGAAACTGTGTCTAACATCAAAGAAAAATGTACATATTTATATATATATATATATGCTCACCCCCTACTGTTGAAATTATCAGTTTTTCTAGACTGTGCAAGTGAAAAGGTAGGCCCTGGGGGGGGGGGTGAGCATATATATATATATATGTATGCTTGAGGCAAGCCCACAAGGCAATGTACTTTTCCTCCCCTCGTGGCGCGGGTGTTTGAACTTCGCAACACCAGACTGAACAGCATGAGACGGCCTATGCACACGACACACGTTACGAAAGAGGATTCACATCTTCAATCACTGAGCATTGGACCCCCATGCACAGCCAGATCCAGATCCAAGTGTATTATGGGCTTAGTAGGCTCCACCGTTTGCCCTTTTGTTTCCAGTTGTTCCAGTACTTGGAGCTAGAGTCGATGCAACTGGCTGCCCTCACCAGGCGAAGGGCCCCCGGTGAGTATGGACACCCCATAGAGGTGTGTCTTAAAACGCCCCCTCCCCCCCTGGGCCCCCGAATTTCGATTTTCTACATAGTTGCCTTTTGACACCGCTCCCCCCCCCTCGCAATAAGGGATGAAACCAAACCCCATTTGGTTGTGGGTTTATCAGTTGTGCGCTGTGTTCTTTTGTTCTTTTTGCGCTTCCCATGCATTCCAGGCGAGCCTGCAGCCGGGAGGCGGGCAGTGCCGGGCAGAAGCAAGAGCCTCCAATCCACCTTGAATTTTGGGCTCCAAATGAGGCGACAAGATACCAACCAACCAACCTGCCTACGTCATCTGCCTGGCCTAACAAGGATCCCGTAAATTTGTGGTACGCGGCCACTTGTCGCCAGCTTGCGTTGGTGCCAGGCGCCTGTGGACATCGAGCAGGCGTCAACGGGCGGCGCGTTCGGGGCGGTGCGGGCGGATTCCGTGCGTGGCCGAATGGTCCTCGCCTTGCAAAAGAAGAGCCAGTGCAAAGAGTGTTGTTTTCAAGGAACCATGGCCATGACCCACAAACGACGTTTTGAATGTGGCTCATGTCTCAATCGTTTGGCCACCAGCCCCTGTCATATTTCTGTTGTGGGGTCTGGAGCGAGTCTGTGCCTCAGAACTGGGATTTCGAGGGACTTGGCCCCTGAACTCTATGGCTTGACTAGGCCTGTGCTTATTCGTCAAAGGCCTGATGGGGAAGCTCCCTGAAAGGCTCCTAGAATAGAAGATATGGGCAACACTTTTTGGTTTCAGGAGAATATTCGAGGTTTAGTAGCTGTGTTTGTCCTGCGATATAGCGTGCTGAGGGTAAAGCGAGCTCATTCCATGAGGAGGGTATTCTCGGAAGACCCTCATTTCCAGTCCGCCAGGTCTGTCTTCAGAAATCATCGGCTGGACGCGGAAATCGCAGGTTTCCAGAATCCCTAGGCAAGAACACAACGCCCAAGTCCAGCTTTATGTTTCTTTGACTTCCTTTGGGGGATCCACCGCTGCGCGTCTGGAGGATCGGCGGCGGCACAGCCAGGGGGTGGCCGACCTCGAGGTACACTTTGAGGTGCCTGAGGAGAGCGTTCAGCCGGAGGTTGGGGGGGGGGGGGGGTAGGGGGTTGGGCGTGAGGAAGGTGGTGTTGGGGGATGGTGGTGGTGGTGGTGGTGGGTGGGTGGTGGGCGGTGGGTGGTGGGTGGTGGGCGGTGGGTGGTGGGTGGTGGGTGGTGGTGGATGGTGATGGTGATGGTGATGGTGATGGTGATGGTGATGGTGATGGTGATGGTGATGGTGGTGATGGTGATGGTGGTGGTGGTGGTGGTGGTGGTGGTGGTGGTGGTGGTGGTGGTGCCAGCCTTTGTCTTTTTTTTGGGTAGCGGAGAGCAAAAGGGGGGCAGAACGACCCTTTGTTTGCCGAGAGTGGTACCTCCTCCTGGGAGGTTGTATTTTTCTGAAAGACAACCATTGCCAGTGATGCTTGCATGTCAACTTCGTTCTACCTCATTTGGCAATTCAACATCACCGGCACCACCGCCTAATTTGAATCGTCTGGCAACTCTTCTTGAACGAAACTGCTTCGACTTTGGTGTCAATGCCCTGGTCATTTGCCAGCCCTTTACTTGGTTTGTAGGGATGGTCATCCTCCCCTTAAAGGCTTTAAACAACACTTGCAGGGTTTTCTCAAGGAAAGCATGACCATGGCCCCTATGCAACTAGTTTTGAGCATGGCTCACGTGGGTATGACCTGTTTTGAGCCTTTGAGGATACAGAATAATTTTTTGTTAGAAGGGAATCAAAGGGGAAACCACCCATGAATTTTGGGCCCTCGTTTAGAAAGACACTTCCATGATGACTTGTTTTGACGGCGCCCAATTTCCTTGGAGCCATAGATAGTTTCCGGTGGCAAACACGCGACCCCGTGGGTGGGACCAGGGCTTCCAGGTTCCATGTTTGGTGGATAGGACTTTTGTCAATCGACGCCGAGGTCCTGGGAGGAAGGAGGCAATGTTGGAAAGCAGGGGACCACACCTTGTTGATAGCAAAAGGTCTGACTGAGATGTCATGCCGAACAATACGTCGGGTACTGATCACTGTTGCCAGGGACGACTTTGGGCAGTATTGGTCTCAGGTTCTATACCCCATTTATCAAGTTGAACCAAACAGCTCAGCCAGTGCCCCGAAGCAAACGGAACGAGTTTCCCCCGGTTTGGCCTTCCCGTTTCTTGCCGCAGGTCACGCACCGGTCCAACTCCCGGGAGTCCAGGCGAGGGAACTTAAGCCAGGGGAGGCCGAAAAAGGCGTAGGAGCCGGCGGTCTGCCCAGCTTCCCCGGCAAAACTGAACGAGTGAGGCGATTTTTGGTACGTCGAATATCTTAGTACCTGGCGATTTTTGAAGCGCGGAGCAGGTTTCTGGCTGGCGGCTTTGATTTCAAGAGAGCCCCTCATAATGGGTGGGGGTTCTTTCAGTTTCTCGCAGCAGTTCAGAGAAAGGGTATCCAAGTGGGAACACTGCTAGGCCCTGATTTTCTTTTGCCGTTGCAAAATGCAAATGAGTGTGCTTATTGGCTTGGGTCCCTTGTTGGGGTTGTTTAAAATGAGAACCGAAAGAAAATGCATTCCGTCCCGAAGCGGAGACGGACCCCCACCAACGACATAATGAGGCTGAACAAAAAACAGGGGCCTCAAACAGGTTCTATCCAATGGAGGAACCACTTGAGGTGCCCGCAAATAAGGAGACACCCAAATGGATGAGTCTGGTGTTGCAACCTGCGTTTGCTTAGCTCACCTGAATTTAGTGACATATCTCTATTGCCATGTGCGGCATCAATGTTTTTCCGTTTTTTGAGAAGGACCCCCCCTTCGCGGCACATGGACATCCATGTTCCAGCGAGTGCTGCGTAGCCCTGGAGGGTGGGGCAGCGAGAGAAATGGACTGAACTTTCCTCGTGAGCACTGGGCAGGCTGAGCCCGGAGGCTGGAGGGAATTGGGTGCCATTGATCGAGAGGGTTGGGGGGCTGGGGAAACCAAAGCAGCTCCCCGGACTGTAGGGGTTGTTTCTTGATTGAGCGCTTGTCGCTTCAAAGACCACATCCTAAGTCCCGTTTTGAGAACCCATGTGGCTGTGAATGTTGATTTGGACCCTTTGGTTGGCATTGTTGGTTTATGTCATGGTTCTCACTTTCAGGGGATGCGCCATGCTGCAGTGGGGGTTTTGTACTCCGCAGTTCTGATACCACGACTCAGATCAGCCTAAGTGGGCAACGCCCATGTAAAACTGCTGAGAGGCTGCCCCAAGAGCAAGAGCACCCCATGCTAGGCGCGCAGCCTTCGTGCCAGGCGCGTTGGGGCCTATGTCGCATGGAAGTTCTATTTGTGGCCTGGTGCAAACCTGCGGTTGCTGGCGCTTGGTGGGGGCTCGCCAACTCGGAAAATGAAAACAACTTTCAGAGGTTTCTACAAAGCGAACTGTGATCATGACTCCCACTTTGGGAGCCTTTTGACGAGTGGGTCGGAGCAATGGTGGGATTTTTTCTGCTTTTTGCCATTCGGCCCCCCCTCACACATTCTGATTGCAGCATCAAACAAACCTTGGCCCAGGAAGTATTGGGTTATCACTCAAGATCCTGTTCTGATCAAAGGGTTCTGAGAAGCGTTCTGCGGCTACATCACCGGGTCCATTTCCTTCCCTCTGATTTCCCATTTGAGCTGGTTGGCAGCTGTATCGGACCACCGTCTCGCAAGGCAAGCGCGCGTAGAGTCTATGTCAACAAAGCGAAAACATTTGCGAGAGATGCTGCCATTTTCAGCCAAGACACGGCTGTGCCCCTAAAAGTGAATGAAGACTTTGAGGGGTTCGCAAAATTACTTTGCGTGGTCTCCCTTGGCTCCGTGCGCGCTTTTCTTGTTTTTTGACGACAGGAAGCGACCATTGAGCCGCGATTCCCGGGGTGCGCGCAGCCTTTCGCGCGCGCGCCGAGTCAGGTGACTGAGTGCCCGAAGACCTTGGGGTTTGAAATAGGAGTTTTTCGGCCCAATAAAGTCTCAGCCGTCTTAGCGGGATCAATTTGCTTCGGGCTCAGTTAAAAGTTGCAGTGGCTTGCACCCACCACAGTGCAGCAGGCCTGATCCTAGTGTATTCGAAATGGCATGGGGCGTTGTTCGGACTTGTTCAGAGGCGGACTCAAAAATCTTTGAGCGGGCGACCCTGTTTCATTGTTCGGGATTCGTGCCAGGATCAAGGTTTGCCGCCGTCTCACCACCATTGTGCATAATCACGCGGCGCCATTTGAGTGTGAGTGCCTTTGCACCATTGGTTGGCAAAATGCGGACATCCTTTCGGGGGATTTCGGCCTTTGTGTCACCCAAGTTGCCTCATGGGCTCTTGAGGGGTTTGAGGCCGACTCGACCGACTCATATTTGGAATAAGTGCCCCCCTCGAAAAGGGAGTTCCCGTTTTTTCTTCCTGAATCCTGACCAAAGCTTCCCTTCGGGTCGTTCCTTTTGGGTCGGGCACTTGGAGGTGTCCCATCGAACCGGGATCCCGAAACCCCGGGAATCACCGGGCTGTTCAAGCGGAGCCCGAACCCTTCTTGGGCTCGAAATTGCGCTTCAGGTCTGAAAACCTGACGGACTCATTCATCGATGTTGCCGGTCTTTCGTAGAACCTTCGCTTTGAACCTGTGCAAGATCGTTTTGATCGGGAGACCCACGAAGGGTTCTCACAGGGAATGTTTGGCTTCGGCTTATTCGACCACATCCCAGCCAATAAAACCCAATCGCCAACCACTAAAACATGTTGTTGCAGGGCATAGTTGGGGTGCATTCTGACTGCAAATCGAGGCATCCCAGGAAATCCCAATAGGTCACCAGTTGAATTTCACCTTTAGGTTTCATTTCTGGTGGCTGCTTTGGGAACCCACTTCAAAAGTGCTGAAAACGAGACTGGGAACAGAGCTCCCAATCCAAACCGCATGCAGGCATGGCTTCTTGCATGGAATGTTTGAGCCAGGTTCATTCCCAGTAAGCAAGAGGTTCATTTTTTTGCAGCTTTCTGGTCTCGGTGTTGCCAGGCTTCACACTTTGTCGACCAGGGTCCTTTGTGCCCTGCAAGGGGACCGCTCTTCAGTTTCGTGGCTAGGTCCCCTGTCAGATGGGAGCCCTGTTCCGACTCACTGGGCTTTGACTCGCAAGGAGGCTCCTGCGCTGAAGTCGGTGGAAGAGGCGAGAGCGCGGGAGACCGGAGAGAAGGAATCGGGCGGAACGGAGGTTCATCACTGGCAACATGTTCCGTAAAACCCCTAAAACCACTCTCAAGCATATCGATCCTAAGCCAAGACCTCATGCCTGGTGTGGCGAAACGCGAGTGGCTTGGGGCAGCAATGCTGAACTTTTGTTTGAACATGAGCTCATTGTATGTTTGCTGTTCTCCAGTTGCTCAAGCCGCAAGCCCACGCAACTGCCTGGGGTTCCCCTGTTCCATCCCCAATATGGACTGGGCAAGGGAGAATCAAACACTCTAGGGGTTGATTCCGCAACCATCGCTGCGGAGGCGCACTGAAGGCACCCATGGGGCGTTCTTTTTCTGCTCGGCAAACAAGCCTGCGGAATTGCCGCGTCTTTCCGACATGAAATTCAGGTGGAACGCTTCCTTATTTGTCCACTGAAGGGCCCATGTCCAATTGACGTTGCAGGTTGGGGCTTTCGGGATTCGTGATTAGAAGAAAACTGCTCTTGCGATGAGCACAGATCTTGGGTGCCCTTTTGCGACCTACATTTTGAAAACTCAACATGTCCCCAAGCAGCAATGAATGTTTGACTTCTTGCAGGGGGTCTGAGACCAAAGTGAGGGGCATCCTTTTGTCAAGCCAGTGCAGCTGTCCAGGGGACACCCTCAAATCGAAACAAGGACAACCCATGTCTGAGAAATCTGGATGGGGTCAATCTTTATAGTGATGGCCCTTACACTGCCCCAGGACGTCGCCTGCAGATGCAGTGAGTTCCAGTTCTCCTGGCTGCCGGTGACCCCAAAACGCGGGGGGAACTCTGCTTTGCGCTTTGCTCCCCCTGTGCAACCTTGACTGTGGGTGCCAAAGGTAAATTGCCACAGTAAGCATGCGATGTTTTCATAGCGCCTTGTACTCTCACAAATCAGGGGCTGGCCTTCTTTGTTTGGGCGGGACATGTGGGGAGGTGTCTCAAAATGGGGGAGGTCGGCAGCCACCATGCAAGCAAGCCGAATGAGGATGATGACAAACAGCTATGCATGGTTAAAACATGTCCCACGAAACCTGCCATTTGGAGGCACCCTCTCCCAATTTGGAGGTCAAAAGCTAGCCGCAATCTCAAATATGATCAGCCTCCTCCCAAATAGGGAGGCATGAAATTGCTTGCGCTGACTGAGCATCAGCATTCTGGATTTGCTGTGTACCACAATGACGGTAGGTTGGTTTGCGTGAGCTATCAAATTGTCAAAGAGCTATCAACTTGTCAAAGATTGAGCTCGGCTCAGATCTGCGTTGCGCCGGACGTTTTATTCTGAACATGTCATCAACATCGCCTAGATAAAAATGGGGCTGTTTCGTAGGGAAAGCAAAAGGCACCTTGCAGGCCCTTTTGTGTTTTCCCTGTGCTTCACACCAACGGGATCGGACACACCCACACAACTACATTAGGTGGAGGACAAAAGACGTGGTTTTGCTTTGTGTCTGAGAAATATCTCCAGTTTCTGACTCTAATCCCTATCTACCCTAGAAACAGTCCAAAGTGGTGCCCCAGCCACTTCCTGGACCCCTTGTGGATGTGATTTGCTTTCTTTCCGGAAGGCCATTCTTCGGGCTCCGTTTCCCTTTTGCCGACGGGGAAAGCGAAAACGCGCCGCCAACCTGTTCTGAGGCGACTGCGGGGTCACCTGGAGGCGCTCTTCGAGGTAGATCCCGGCGAGCCTTTGCCCGGAAACCTGGGCTTAGGCCACGAAAACGCGCCGACGGCCCAAAACTCCAAACCTTTTTGGCGACCTGTTCGGGTCAGTGCACTTGGCAAGCCGCAAAGACAAAAGACCTTGGGTTGGATCTTACATTGTAGGGGAGTGGTATACTTATTGTATGAGAGCGAAATACCAGAGCCGGCGAAGCCGATAGGCGGACATTTTAAACAGTGGCAGAGCTATCGTCTCTCTCTCTCTCTCTCTCTCTCTCTCTCTCTCTCTCTCTCTCTCTCTCTCTCTCTCTCTCTTTGTCTTTCATTTCTTGCATGTTTTGTAGTTCTTCTCATGTTATGTTCATTATTTAAGTTATTTCTTTCTTTCTTTTTCTTTCTTTCCTGTTTTTTATGTTTCTTTCTTTCTTTCTTTCTTTCTTTCTTTCTTTCTTTCTTTCTTTTTGTCTTTCCTGTTTTTCTTTCTTTTTTTATTTCTTTCTTTCTTTCTTTCTTTCTTTCTTTCTTTCTTTCTTTCTTCCTCTCTCTTCTTGCTCTCTCTCTCTCTCTTATCTCTTCTTTCTCTCTGTCATCGTTCTTTCTTCTTTCCTTCCCTCCCTCCCTCCCTGCCTCCCTCCCTCCCTCCCTCCCTCCCTCCTTCCTTCCTTCCTTCCTTCCTTCCTTCCTTCCTTCCTTCCATCCTTCCTTCCTTCCTTCCTTCCTTTATGTCCTTCATTCCTTCAATCAATCAATCAATCAATCAATCAAGCAAGCAAGCAAGCAAGCAAGCAATCAATCAATCAATCAATCAATCAATCAATCAATCAATCAATCAATCAATCAATCAATCAATCAATCAATCAATCTCTGTCTGTCTGTCTGTCTGCCTGTCTGTCTGCCTGTCTGTCTGTCTGTCTATCTATCCATCTATCTAGTTGTTGTTAATATACATCCTCACTTGTACATGCCCTTGCACATCTGTATGATCAAGGCCTTGAGCCTACATACAGTAGAGCTACAGCTTGCCACCTGGAAACAACAGTGCCGCGCTGTCACACACAGGTCTTCAGGTATTTACATCATCAATCCAACTTTAACATGGTAGCGGAGCAGTGATCCCTGGTACACGATCCTACCACACTTCCCAGGGTGAGCTCCAACACGCACTCACAGGTTGAGGTACACAGTAGTGAGTAACATGGCACAACATCAACAAGATCAGCAACCACAACAGCAGCAGCTAGAAGGAATCCACAAGTACAAGATATCACCACCACGCTTCAATGGCGAATACAACACCTTCGAAGAATGGAAGTACAAGATGACAGCATACCTGGGACTACAAGACCCAGACTACAACAGACTGCTTAGACAGTCAGAGCAATCAGCAGGAGCAGTTACAAATGACCAACTTGAGAATGCAGCACCTTCACAACAAGTTGCAGAGCAATGGATACAACTGAGCAACAACTTGCACTACATCCTAGTGAGCACATGCGATGGACCAGCATCTACAATCTGCAGACAAAACATGCAAGGCAACGGATTCGAAACATGGCGGCTTATACATGCAAGGTACTCCATACCTCTTGGTACAAGGAGCATTGGATACCTTAGAAAGCTGCTCAAACCACAACTCGATGAACAGAAGTTCGAAGAGAGCTTTACAACATGGGAGTTCCAACTCTCAAGGTACGAACAAGACAACAACACACTACTACCAGATGCAATCAAAATCGCAGTGCTACTCAATGAAACAAAAGGACCACTACAGCAGCATTTGCAGCTACAAGCAGGAAACATCACAACATACGCACAGATCAGATCGATGGTGATCGAGTACTACAGAGCAACAGCGTCATTCTCCAGACTACAGTCAATCACATAAGGCAGCAACAGCAATCAAGGAGCGGCGCCAATGGACATAGGAGCAACATGGTACAACAAAGGAAAAGGAAAGAAGGGCAAGCACAAAGGCAGAGGAAAGCACAACAAAGGCAAAGGCTACGGCGGCTACGGCAACAACTTCGGATACAACAACTACAAAGGAGGAAAAGGTAAGTACAATCAACAACCGGTTGGACAAGGAAATCCTTT